AGTGAGTGAATAATTCAATGAATGAGCTGAATGCGTTGAATGAGTTGAATTGCTCATCCGGTTTGTTAGCTACTTAAGTGCGAAGCTTAAGTGTTGTTAGCTGGTAAGCAAATACCTTGAGGAGATAATTCCACGCTGCTGAAGTTTGCTAATGTGAACGTGAATGATATCAAGTTCAACGCTGTGATGAATTTTAATAATGTAGGAAAATTTAGACAGTCACACACAAATATACATTTGCTTATGCAGAAATATACGGAAACACTTTGCAAATGTTTATATATATGTATAAATATACATAAAATATATTAAAATATTGTTAATATTATACTAACTTGATTTTTTGATTTTGTTCGTTATTTCATGCCTTTCTTTATTCATAAGAACGCTTAGTTTTTCATTTTTTATTTTTCATTTTAACTTTATTGATTTGCATATGTTTACAAAAAGATTACATAGAGCTAAGTTTGGTAGCAAATATTGTATTACTTAACGACTTATAAGTTTAGACGTGAGCTCTGCATCGAGAAACTTTTGTTAACTCAGCCGAAAAATTGAGATTTAATTGGATAGCCTGAAAGTGAAAATTTGATTAATTAATTATGTCTATACATATGGAAGGAATGTAAGAGAAGTATGTGGTTATGCATGTGAAAAATGAGGAATGTTAAGTAAAAGCAAATATACAAGGAGAAGCACACCTTACAAATAAATTGTAATTTGAATTTCAAGCAAAGATAGAATAATCAAAAAAAGTATAGTTTTTGTTAGATATTTTGAGTTAAACTTCTATATATACATCACAATTTAAAGAGAGAGTTATTTTTATTTCTATTAATAAAATTTTTGTAAAAACGATATAGATATATTGTATGTTATATAATTCTTTTTCGACCATTAAAAAAAACTATAAAGAATAATAATAAATATTATTGCTCATCGAAGATATTTTCCATGTATGTATGTTCATATACACACACGCTTTTTGCACTTTCATACAAAGTGGAAATATTAGCAGCAGAAAATACATCTGCAAAAATATCGAAAATATCTTTTTAATGGAAAAAATTTCCTATACGGTCTTTTCGGTTAATACGGTCTTTACGGTCTAATAAGCAGCTATTGTGTATAGTTGAACCATAGGTAAACATACCTTTAGGCATGCCCAAATAATTAAATTGCTGTTGAAAAGAACTCTTTAATAAAGCATGCTTTTAGGCACTTTTAATAATGTTTAGCTTTTTCTATCTACATTCATATGTGTGTATGTAATATTATATTAATTTGAGTGAATTTAAGTAAACCATTTTTGTTTATGGGTGTTTTGAGGCAAATATCCACACACATCGATAGTGATGCGGCAGAAGCACCGATAGCGTTTTTTGCAGGTCATTATGCAGCCAGCTAATAGTCCGGACCACGCCCCAAGCGATTACCATCTACTCCTCCCTATGACGAATGATTTGACTAATAAAGAATTGATCTCAAGAGAAGCCTGTAAAAATCGATTGTCCTAATTTTTTACCAATATGTTAATTGCAGAAAGTTATCGAGCAAAATGGCGGATATTTCACATTAAAGAGATAATTTCAACTATGGTAAATAGAGCCTTCAATATAATACAAAAATAATGGATTACTTGTTACTTAACCAATATAACTGGCGATTTTTAAACTTGGAAGCGATTTTCCATCGAGCTCGTCCTACGTGCTCGTCTTAATAATTATTTTCCCAAAAAAATAAAGGGACTTGCAATTTATTCTAAACCACCTCCAGACTGCAGATGGATTTTTATGTCAAAAATACACTCGGAGGGGTTGACGTGCTCTGTTGACGGGTGCCCGTAATTATAAAAAAAAATATCAAAAAAAAAATGTTTATTGATTTTCTATAATTTTGAATGCTGAACAGCGCTCAAGCCTGTAATGTCGACGTGGTGGTATGTAATTTACATGAAAAAAAGGCCTCAGCAACGATGGGTCAAATGCCCAGAATTCTGCTTGAACATGCCTCCTAGCTAATCAAAAAAAAAAATTAAAATATTAGAAGTAAAAAAATTACTCATTTCCAATTGATCTAAAAGTTTTCGCACGCTTTTTCTAAAATATAATGCGCAGCATATTATTCACAAAGTAATTACAATATTATTATTAGTTTATTTTTTATAGAAACGCCCTTAATATCATTAAAAATATGGGCGCGGCAAACACCTGATATAGCAAAAATAAAATAAAAAACGATGCCTAAAAACTTACATTTATTATGAAGTATAATTATTTAATAAATTTAATTTATGCATGACATTGAAACCTATATTTCCCAGCATAAAGACAACAACAACAACAACAACGAGGGCACATGTGAATCACTTTGGTTTTTATTACAATTTCGTGATTTAATAATAATTATAGAAAATTAGCGTAATGCGTCTATTCAATTTGTCACAAGTTGCACTCATTATATATATGTACTCGTATGTACTCCTGCTTTTAAATATTGCCTCTACCCTTCAGCTCAGTTCATATTTATTTAACAGCTGACTAATATTTTGCATAAAATGTCATTTACGCTCGGCTACCTGTGATTAGTAATATAATTATGTATCAAACTAAGAATTTAATTTAACACACTTATACACACACAACTGTTTGTTTGTAGCATGAAAAAATATATGTTTTCAATTTTCCATAATTTAATTTTGGCCAATAAATACAGTGACTTGAGTTAAATTAAGTGCATAATTGCTCGTCAAATTATTGAAAACTTCTAAACCTTACGAATTTCAAAACGTGCATGCATACCTACATATATATATATACATTTATATGTGGCTGAATCTAATGTCCCATCTGACGCCTAAATTAGCGTTCAATTTGAATGGCGGCAGCAATGAGAACACCTTCGAAGCACATACATACATACAAGCAAAAATTAGCTAAATGAGCAGAATTGTATTTGCAATATATGAGTAAGTATTTAAGTTACAAATTGTGATGTCATAAAGGAAAAAAATTACAATTGCATGGAAATAATTATTTTGGTGAATGAAAATTTTTTAATATCAAAGCAATAAAACGCAAGTAATAAGTAATCCATTATTTTTGGAATAGTTGGCTTTAGTAGTGTTCTCTGTCTCGTTTTTTATAAGTGTAATTGGCCTTCGCTAGATGGCGTTAGAAAGGTGATATTTTATGCCAAAAATAAACGACAGCAGTGTTTTTGTAATGTGGTTGAGCGCAAAGATAAGCACCATCAGAGAGAGAATATGCCATATTCTACAATGTTTCTACGATAAAGGATAAAATGTGAGTCAGGCAGCTATAGTAGTGTAAATACTATTAATGGGGCTGATTCAGTCCACCTTACACAATTTTGATTATGTCGTTTTCGATCGGGTAGTTCTGATATAAACGATGATCCCCACTGTAGAAGATCAATTGTCGGAAATGTCGATAAAATAAGAGATATTGTCGAGTCTGACCATCATGGAAGCGCTGTTTCAAAGCAGAAAATGACTGGCGATAAAAAGTAGTTTACTGGCAGCAACGTCAAACCAAAACGGTTGTGATCGAAGAGCAGTGAGTCGTCATAAACGGTCATGCCTTGAAAAAGCTTTGTGGAGTGTCCTCCACTATGAGGGGAGTCTCTTATGCATCCCTATGTTCCTGTTCATGACGAATAATTGGGCTGGTGAAGATCAAGCCCCAAGAGAAGACTGAGATTTTTCCACATAGGGACAAAGGTTTCTATGAGAGAGGTATAATGATATTACACCCGGAATGGCAAAAAACAATGCATATTTGACACAAATCGGATAATTCTAAATATGGTAAATAAAACCTATTGCTGTGGCCGAGTGGTTAGAATTACGCACTGTCATTTGGAAGGTTTGGGTTCGAATCCCCGTGGACTTACATCCAAAAGTTATAGAAAATTAATTTATATAAATAATTAAGCTAAATTTTCTAAATGCGGTCGCCACTCAGCAGTCATGTGTTTCTGACATGAAATAAAGCTTCTCATACTAAAACCATCAGCCAATCGGAGGAGGATTAGTATAAACTGTAGGTCCCTCTATTTGCTAGAAAAACATCAAGACCGCAAATCAGAGGACAAGCTCGGCCGAAAATCGCTTCAGCAGTTACAAAGCGCTAGTTATACATATTTAATGCAAAAATAATGGATGACTTTAAAATGATAAAAAATTACTTTAAGTAAAAATTAAAGAAAAAAATTATATAATAAACTCAGTTTAAGAAGATGGAAAATTTCAACAAGATGGTACCACATATGTACGGCCTGCAACCACTTCAATTACTGCAGGAGACATTTTCAGGCCATGTACTCCCTCCTTATATCGTGTGATTTAGCACCATTCGATTTCTTTTCATAGGGTTATTTAAAATCCCAGACAAATTGGAGGAGGTTCAGCCACATTTATACAGAATAGTCATGAAAAGTTTCTAAGAACGAGCGCGCATGTGTATAGAAAACCGCGGAGGTTATTCGCCTGATGTTTTAATCCATAAAAAAAAAAAACCCTAACCCGTGACTCAAAAATAGAAATTCAATCTCAAGTCTAAAAATGTGTTTTCTATTTAAGAAAAAATTAAAATGTAGTTACATGAAGGCTACAACTTATACCACTTTTCGAAAACAAATAAATTGGAGAATTAGTTTAAAAAAAATTACGGAAATTTAAATTTTTGAATAATTACATTTTCAAATTTGTGCGCGCTCATCACCAAAACTTAAAACTTACCTCTTAAGTCATTAATATGTTGAATGCTGTACGGCACACACCACGGATTCCAAAATCTTGTGGTAAAATTTACAATAGTTCACAACAAGCTTATTTGCACCACACACAAATACAATATTTACAACTCTTAAATGTAAAAAGCGCATAAATCTATATAGCAAAAATTATCTATCTTCTAATATTTTTATGCATATAATGAAATACAATATTTCCATAAGAATAAAGTACACACACATACATAAATATTTACAAATAAAACACATTTATTTAAGTTATTCGATAGCAAAACAAACCTGCAACTGCAGCTATAAAGCAACAAATATTGTACATAAAAAACATTTAAAGAGCCATAGCCAAAGTGGTCAACATCAATCGTAGCCACGATAAGTGCCATACCCACCACGCCCATCATACGGGCGATCATTGTAGCCCCCATCATAGCGTGGCAAGCCATAACGATCGGTGTTGGCATAATAACCGTAACCACGATTGCGTTGACCCGAATATTCGGGATTCCAATAACCATAGTATTGAGGCAAGCCGCCATTACCTCCATAGCCGCCATAACCGCCATTGCCACCTAGTATGTTGGTGCCAGTGCTCGTGCCGGGGTAGTAGCCAGTGCCGGTGCTGCCGTAATTATAGCCATAGCCGCCAGCGCTTGGATAATACCCACTACTGCTGGCATAGTTGGGGTAATTACTGCCACTCCAGCCGCTATTGCTGGGATAGTAGTTGCTCGGGTATGCGTTGGTTGGGTAGTAATTGGTTTTATAAGGATAATATGTGGTTGGCCTGTAGGTGCTTGGGTAGTAGTTGTTGCCATAGCCATTACCGTAACCATAGCCGGGATTTTGACCAAATAAGCTGCCCAAATTGAATACTAATTAAGGGATGAACAATACAAAACCAAAACGAAAATTTAAAAGGAAGAAAAACAAAAGGAAAAAATTAGATTAAAAAATGAGATTTAAAAATTGGTGAAAGCATTTAATATATGTATTCAAGTTCTAAAATTCATCGAAATAAGGCATATTCTAAATGCTTTTGTTTCAATAAGTTAGCGCGTAATATGAGTGATTTAATTAATTTAATTAATTCATTTGCAATGTTATATATATATAACACATTTACACATATGCATACATAGGTTTAATATTTTTTCAATAAATACTCGTATAATTCCGAAACTAATTGAGCATCAAATATTTAATTAATTCAATTGGAAAAAAGAAACTATGCACCCATTAACTTACATACATATATTGTATGTGCATATATAAATAAATTTTTTTAATACATGAAATTGATAAAAAAAAAAAACAAGCACATTTATAACACCTAAAGCCGATCCCGGCCGCGTTAACCGCTGAAGCGGTTTTCGGCCGAACTTCACATTCAATTTGTGGTTGTGGGTCTTGATGTGTTTTCAACAAATGGAGGGACTTACAGTTTATACTAAGCCGCTTCCGAACGGCTGATGATTTTAGTATGAGGAGCTTTATTTCATGTCCGAAATACACTCGGAGTTGACATTCCCTGCCGAGCAACGACCGGAGTTTTATTGCTCAATATTTTTTGAGTACGAGCTTGACCATTTCGAGCTTTTTCGAGTATTTTGAGCAAAAATCTGGACCTTTTTCTCAGAATTTTGTTCCATAATTTCAAATTTATTTAAACAACAAAATTCAAATTTGAAAAATTTCAAAGAAATATCTTAGCATTTCAGCAAGAAAAGAGTATGGAGAGGGTATCGAGCTGCTCGCAGCGCTCGATGCTCCAGTATCTACAGCTCTAGTGTTAAAGTGTGGGTTACCACTGTGGGTTTTGGACGATGCACTGCTCGGAATATCGATGTGGGCTCGGCCAAAACAACCGTTTCTTGACGAATTTTCATTCTCTTTTCTGACGCTGCTGTTAGTGCTCTTATGGTGATCGTAAAACCCTGCCACTTCTGCGGAAAATATTGCTGCATTCCTCGCTCTTGCAATCTTCTCTTTGTCATATTTTTTTTTTTGTTTAGGGAGCTAATTTTTTTCAATTGGATCTCCACTTCAAGCCACATTCAACCGTTGTACAGCCACCCTGTCAAAGGATCCGTAGTAGTCTGTCTTCGAAGCTGGTAGGTTAGGCGAGGATTGCCACAAGCCCTCACGGGTGCTCTGAACACAAAGCCAACCAAGTTAATGGTGAAGTGCTTTGAACGTAGATGAGCGTGAGATGAAAGAGGCCTTGAAGGAGAGCAATGTTTTTTCACTACTTGATTTGCTTTAACGAGTATGGATTGTGTATTCTCTCACTTCGAATACCCATTTTTAGTCACTGAGATCAATGCACATCAGGGCATAACACACAGAACCAGGTGAGATGAAAAATTCTTTGTCAACTGCAACTTCTGTGTGATTCCTTCTTTTTTTCTCTTCTCCTTATTTTTTTCTAAATTTACATGGGCTCCACATGCACGTATTAATAAAATCCAGATCTCCCTTCACCTAATATTACCTGAATTCGGAGCAGAAATTTTACTTGCCCTCGGCCTTCTACCAGCCAGTAGAACATCATATATATACACATATGAAACTCTTCCATCCATTCGGACGTTAGAATCTAGCCAGTGTGTTAATTCACCAGCAGCCAGCGTTTATTCCGAATCCTAATCGTAAAAAACGAGGAAAATGATGACCGATTTTTTGATTTTGTCCCATTTTAAACGAGATAGGACTTTGCTTTCGAATTACATGTGCTTCTTTAGCATTGCAAAAAACTTCAATATGAATGCTCTGAGATATAGCACAACAGTTTATTTATAATTAGCGCTTTGTAACCATTGAAATGGTTATCGGCCGACCTCCTCCTCCAAGTTGTGGTATTTGTTACTGTGTTTCCTACAAATGGATGGGTGTATATGACTCCTCATTATTTCAAGTAAGAAATACACTCAGCGGTTTTCACCTGCCGAAGGGCAAGTGCTATGAAAAACGGCTGAAGGTAGCACAGTAAAAGGAAGATCTCAAGTGAAGAAGTGAGGCAAATGGAAAAAATGGTATGTGTGGTAATTTCTAAGAAGTTATCTAAAAAAGAACACTATATGTTCAGAATACTGCAATAAGCACTTAAAAAATATTTTATTCAATGTCACGATATGACAACCGAGTGCAATTCTCGCTCAATATGAGTTACCTTTTTTTAACTGGTAACAATAATACAAATTTAAAATAAAATAAATATATCTTCCGACCACATTTACTTTGAACACACCCAAACATTTTTCAAACACTCTAAAGGACTTCGAAGTAGTTCTTAATACGTCTGAGTGTGACTAAAAATAACACTCGCACATTTTGGAATTTTATTCCGCTTACATAATAACACAATATGTACAAGGTAAAAGTACTTACACTTTGCCGAAGTGGCCGATGTGGCTAAATCCTTTTGAATTGGTTCACTCTTGCCATTTGTATTCTCTTCAGCGGAAATGCTTGCCGTGCTCAAGACACCAACACACAGCTATAAAAAGCACAAAACATTTTTTTGACATGAGTTGAGCACAAGGAAGGAAAACGCTTTAAAAACTTTTATCACAATTACCACAAACAAATGTGGGTGCTGTGATGTACGAGTATGTATGTATGTATGTATGTATATATAAAGGTGAAAAAACTGACCAACACAATTGCTAGCTTGAGAATCGAGAACATATTTTCACCTCCAACACAAGTGCCCTCAATAAAACTTTTCCGTTTCGTTGTAAAAGACAACAACAAGATCAGAAAGTTTTTTTTTTATTTTGTTGATTTCTTAGCACACACAAGTTCTTCGTTCAACAATCTATGTTTGACTGAGGAACAAAAAAAAAACACTTTCGTTTTCTATGCGAACGGCAAACGACAGCAGCAAAAGGTACTTAAAAGAGCTTAGAATTTTTAACAATAGCAAATGGCAGTACTCGTTGATACTACGTTTATTCTCAGGTCTTAACTTCAAACTGACAATTCAAGTTCACAGTTAACATCAACTTTACTTAGGCACCAAGTATTTACACGGACAAGACGATGACTTGCGCTATGACTCTGAACTAAGCTAAACTAAACGAACCGAACAGAGTCGCGAGCTTTAGAGTTGAAGTGTTTTTGATTGTTTTTCCCAACGTACAGGTCAATTTATATTTTTTCATTTTCCGGCTGAGTTATTGTGACATATTAACATACGAGTATACGAATATATGTACAAACAAATGTGGCGAATAGCTCTCAAATGATGGCTACGTCATCAGCCGCCACCCTCAAAGGTGTTCTATGAAGCTCTTTCTACGTCTGCTAACAGGTGTTTGTTTGTCGGTTCACAACTTTGAAGCCCAGAAATGTTTTGTGAGTAAATAGCAACGCTTACTTACTTACTTACGAATAAATATGTATTTAAGTTAGTCACCAAATGTTGTTGTAGAAATTGAACAATTATCTCATAATATATGTTTGCTGAGTCAAAACTGCGAAATCGAAATTACAATAGTTTGTTGAAGCTTTGTCTTCTTTTTCCTCTTCACCTTCTCTGCATAAACAAAACTTCCCTTTTACGATCAGCCAAGAACACCATGAATACACCTAAAACTGATATTCTTTAGTGTAAATATTTGAGAGCCATCAGTAAATAATATCTCTAAAATTCATAGTTTGGTTCGAATGTAACCTCTATTGACAAATTTATCTTTCATATGTACAAAAAAGAAATATACTTATTGTATATACTGCAGCTTCAAATACCCGGGTACAGATCAGCTCGATACTCGCTTAATACTCGTTCGTTCATAAGTTTAAATGTTTTGCATTTTGCATAAATAAATATAAAATTCTAGAAAAGAGTTCTGAGAAAAAGCTCAGATTACTCAAGCAATAAACGAATGCGCGAGTACTCGTTAATCAAATTTTCGAGCTGCTCGAAAATGTTCGAAGATAATCTAAGGACTTAAATTTTGAAAAAGATTTTACTCCCTGCCGAAGAACGAGAGCAATTAAAAAAATACACTTTGTATTATTTAGGATGTTTGGTCCAACCAGGGCTCGAGTCCTGCCCTTCCGAATATCTGTACGAAATGCGATATCATTGGGTATGCGAATAAGAATGTCATTACGTGTACATTTGCGAACCCGAGAACGATAACGAATACTAATACGACCATCAATACGAATAAATATGAAACGGGGGATGGGACCGTGTGTAGAAGTTCACGATATTGAGGAAAGTTTTTTGACTGCCATTCACCTGGGAGGGGCCAGAAACAATTCTTTTGCATAACGCAGCTCACGACTTCCGGTCTTAGTCCCAGTATCCCCTGGGTAGCCAACAAACATCCGTTTTGAAGGCGAGTTAAAATGAGAAGGTGAATCCCTTGCGGTTTTGCGTAGGGCTTGGCGCCCACCACATGAAAAATAAACTCCAATAAAAAATTGTATTATGCTTCGGAAGAGAGACCCCCTTTTGATGACGATCCCCGCAAATGTGTTGAGGATTACGATTTGAAGGTACGCACCAGGAATGTCCAGACTCTTAATTGGGAAGCTGGAGCTGTCCAGCTGGTTAATGTCTTTATAAAATTAAAGGCTGGCACTACCGCCGTCCGAGAAATGCGACGGACGGAACAAGAACAGAAGAAGGTGGATCCTTGTGAAATTTACTACAGCGGCTATATAAAGAAGCGCAAATTTGGTGTCGGTTTCGTGTGGAATTCGCTAAAATATCGTTGATTTGCGCCCACGCCCCGACGGACCAAGGATGGTTTTTATAAGCGCCTTGAACATACTTATGAACGCTGCCTCCACCACGATGTCAAAATTGTGCTTGGCTACTTCAACGCCAGGGTGAGCAAAGAAGATATCTTCGGCACAACGGTCGGGTTAAGGCTGATCGATTTCGCCGAGACCTGAAATATGGTTGTCTCTAGCACTAAATTTCAACACAAGGAAATACAACAAGCTACTTGGTTGTCCCCTGATCGAAATACACAAAACCAGATCGATCATATTGTGATAGACGAAAGACATATTTTCAGTTTTCTTGACATTCGCAGACAAAAAAAGAAATAGGCCGAAATGCGTGAATGAGAGGGAACACTTCTCCAGCTTTCTGACCGGCAGTGAACGTATGGAGAGGCGAGTTCTGCGAACATTTTATTTCATGTACAAGACCGGTCAATTGGCCGCCATAGATGGTGCGATTTAACGCCTTCAAACTATTTTTTGTGGGCTGTGTTAATTAAGTGTCTATTCTAATTAACGCATTGGAAGACAACATTGAAGCATTTATTATGGAGATACTAGCCGAAATATTGGGAAGAGTATGCCAAAATTGGACTAAGGGCATGGACCATTTGAGGCGCAGTCACGGTCAACATTTGCATGAAATTATCTTAAAATATTATACGGATCGTACATCGATACAAATAAAAATTTCATGCATTTTTCAGAATTTTGTGTGTTTTTTTAACTTTCCTAAAGTTCTTAGAAAATCACTCTTTATATTTGATTTCATATGAAGAAATTCTCTGTGTTGGAAAATATTTCCTAATTACAATTTTAATTCTAATTCAGCACACTTCAACTTAAGTCGAATCCATAGCAGTTTATTCCTCTACAAAGCTTTAGCTTCCCTTTCCCTCTGCAGCAGCAATAACTTTTATGCGAAAAGCCAATATAGCAAGGTGTTACATTACATTTAAATAATTTCGTTTGAGTAAAGCCGCAAAAACTTGGTCAATAGTGACCATTATTCCACACACCTAAAACTGCCAAATGCTGTTGTTATTGTATTTCGAATATCTTAAATGTATACCTTACACATACTCAGGTACACGCAAAATGTTCACATAAAAACTTTTTGTCTACAATTTATTTTCTTCGACTATTTGCTCATCACAACGTCTGCGACTTAAATTGCTCTGCATTTTCATATTTTTATTTATGCAGCAAATATTAACGAATTCACTTTTGTCTTACCGATCGATTTCTTTGTTATTTCGAAATGAAATATTTTGGCTACATATACAAATTATTTCTGTTTTCATTTAATTTGTTTGCCTACTTTGTTGGTTGATTGTTATTTACAAGCCCTTGTGAGGCGTAAAATTCATTCATAAAAATATCGAATTTACTGTTTAAGTTCGCAGCTCGAATTGTGCCAATACACTTGGGGAAGTATCTGTGTATATACAATGCGGGCATACGCATGTAAGTGCTCGCCAGTGCATATTTTTCTGAGGTGTGGCGAGGTGTAAAATGTGGATATTTTACTGAGATAATTAATTTATTGTTATTATTATGCAATTTCCTTTGACACTTCATTGGTGAATGCAATACTTTGAGCTAGTGACCCAATACAATGCAAGGTGGGTAATTACTTTTGTATAATACTACTTTTTATGAGAATATATACATGCTAAAATATTTAAAAATTTGCTTATGGTACTTTCCAAAAATTTTAACTTCATTTCATGTAAATTTTTTTTTCGTAGAGCTATATAGCAAATATATCGTTTCTTAGAAGAAGTAAAAGCGGAGCAGGAAACGATTTTTTGAGAATTTCACAGGAAAGCGTACTTGGCCCGATCTTTTACATAATTCATCCTCTTTGGTCGTCACCTATGCAGATGTGACTGCAATGCTTGCATCAAGTATATCCCAAATTGAAGCGTCTAAAAGGATTCAGAGTCGATTTTGAATAACACCTAATACATATATATCGAGTTTACTATTATCTCATTTTAGCTTTTGCTTATTCAATTTTTTACTAAAAGCTTTTATTATTTAATTTTTTTTATTTTTTTTTTATTTTGTTCTTTTACTCAATTTGAGTTTACTTTATATTATTTTTTATTTTACTTTATTTTATTTTAATTTATTTTATTTTATTCTATTTTATTTTATTTTATTTTATTTTATTTTATTTTATTTTATTTTATTTTACTTTATTTTATTTTATTTTATTTTATTTTATTTTATTTTTTTTAAGTGGATACACTTTGTCCAACAATTTGTGATTAGCTATTTCATATTTCCATTTATGTGATTATTTTATACCTATATCTGATTAAGTTTAATAAAATGGAAAAATAATACTATAGAAGTTCGCTTACTTTATAATCATGTTCTGATTCAATTAATGTGAGCAAGCGGTTTCAAATCTATATTTAAATGAAAAAGTCGCAATTAAAGAAAATGTATTACAGTGTGAGTGCAAACTATTAACCAGACCAACTAAGTAAATCATTGGCTCATATAAATAATATCTCATATCTGTATACAGAAAAATACAAATAATAAGAAACTGCAAAGAACTGCTATTCACGATTCCTAAAGCATTGCTGATTCTATATATCTCCAAATGCCGGTATTTTGTTTATTTTCAAAATATTATATTATATTATATTTTTATTCTACTTTCGCGTAAATAGCTGTTAATTAATATGTCGAAAAACTTTACCCATAATTTTCTATTTGTATTAGGTTGCCCTTTTGTGAGAAAAAATAAAACAAAAAGCATTAAACCCCATGCAAGCTCATATAAATTTAAAAAAAAAATATAATAACAATAAATATTTTTTTTATTAATATCTACCCCATAATGTGCTACCTTAATATTCTGCAAAGCTTTTCCATAAAGAGTTTTATAATCGCAATCGCAAAAAGCTCGCATATGCTTCAAAAGTGAAGTCTACTTTTGGGCATTGAAGAGATTATGTGTTGTATGAGTGAAGATCTACATGATTAGTATACATGTGTGCACAATTAGGTCGTTTAACAAATTTTATAGTGAACTGATGTGCTAAGAGTGGCATTACTTCTGCTATTTACATAATAAAGATTGAACAACAATTTTGTGTTTTAATTCCACGCTGCCTCTTTATTGTAGAAAATACCGTTAAAGTCAGACAAAAGCTTGAAAAGATTTAAATTGAGTCTGCTCTTTTAGAAGCCACAGTAAGTAGTGGTTTTGATTGATCGATTACTTAAGTTGCTTGAGTTGGCGCCAATGTAAAAATGTCAAAAAAATTTATTGCATAGTTTGAGCATTTGACAACGAGAAAGTTAAAAGCGGAAGCTGTGTTTGCTCACTCTTAACCAAAAAGTAAGAACTTGATTAAGGTTCTGGGCAGTGTTTTGCCATGTTTATTCGTAACAAACCGCAATTTTTGACCCAATCGATCAAACACGAATTCCTCATTTCATTCTGGAATCAAAACGATGTTCATCCGATTGCACAGCAACCGATGAACTGCATTTAAAGTGTTCGAAAGCACAAAAATCGGCTAGAAAGTTTATAGCTTTGGTATTTTGGAACATAAGTGATATAATACTCATCGAATTTCTGGAGAAGGAAAATACTAATATAATACCGTGTGAGCCTGTGGCGTGGCCTCCAATATCGGGCGATCAGGTACTGTTAAACTACATATATAAGAGAATTGCTGATATACTTACCTATTTCCGTATGAAGATGTCGAATGATGGGCTTCTCTGCTGGAGACGGTCTTTAATTTAACAATGAATCGTCTTACAAATAAAGATTTCATGTATTTATCTGAATTTTTTTTTTTTTTTTTTTGAAAAAACTTTCTTTTAGATCTTAAAAATTCACCCTCTATATAATATTACATATTTATTTTGATATGAAGAATGGAAGCACCAGAAAGAGAAAAGATAGGTCCATCAAAATTTATACAGAGTGTCAAGTGAAGTTGATTTAGACAGGTTCATCTAACCGTTTGTGTCACTTCGTGTCTACATATAAACATTGTCCCCGAAAATCAATAAAGATATCAATACACGCCCTACTAGTTTTCCAAAGTTATCCATTATTTTTACAAACGTTGATTTTATTGATCAGTGTCTCGCATTCTAAAAGAGCGATAGGACTACGCTGATGGCGTAAGAAAAGCAATGTCTTTCACTAAAAAAATAATAATGAAATAAGTATTGGTCACTAAACTCAGTAATCTTTGAGCGGATGACAAAGATGACGCCAGCAAAGAGAAACTATTTCTCGATAAAGGCGCAAACGCAAGTCAGGCAGCTGAAAATTTGAGTAGGGTTTATGGTCCTGATAATGTAACACTCAACCATGCACAATTTTGATTTTGACATTTTCCGTCCGGTAATTTCTCATGTGAAAGATGCTCCACGATGTGGAAGGCTAATTAACGAAAATGTCGATTATATAATGAAATTCGAACCGGTATTGTCAGTAATGGCACTGATCTGAAGGAAGCAGAAGACAAGAAGTACCCATCTTTTACTAACAAGAGGTGGTCATCAGGACAACGCCAAGCCACACACATAGTGACTAGCCAGAAGCGCCGAGAGCTTGGTTGGGAGTTCATTTACATCCATCTTATGGTCTGGACCTCATACCAAGTAAGTACCAACTGTTTCTGTATATGGCAAATGGTGAAGTTTTGACAATTTTTTGACCAACTTCTTCTTCTACACCCCTCAAACAGACGCCAAAAATTTAAAAAATAAAACAGATTCTTTGTTTTTTATTTATTTTTTAAATACATTTTTATGTTTTTTATTAAATTAAAGAAAAGTTAAATTTTCTCAAATTTAACTAAACAATTTTCACACTTTTCATGTATTATTATAGTAAACATTAAATAAAAACTAGTAACTAAAATAAAAAAAAAATTATATAAAAAAACTGAGCGAAGTAAAAAATAAATGGAAACAAAAACGTCAAATTGTATATAAATATAGCCAAAAGCATAATTAACAACATTTCACATTGCAATGATATCAACTTCGTTACAACATTATCATTTTACATTCAAAATAAAAATTCAATCAGATAAAGTGCGAAGCACGAACAATGTTAACGCTTAAGTGCGTATGTATGTATGTATATATGTATGCATGTGTGTATGTGTGAAGTGCATTTGAATGCAATTAAAAGGGCGGTTAATTAATATGAGAATATTAATAAACTAGAGGATTTTCCTCGTACATTTTTTTTATAATTTTTTTTTTAATTTTATTTTTTAACTCCAACACATATAACAACATAAATACATACATGCATACATACAATAATTAGTTGTAAGTGGCGACACAAATATATAAATAAAAGGCGTTAATTTCGCAAAACAAAAAGAACAAATTTAACAATTTCTTTAGCTTTCTCATTGAAATGAGCACATACATAACATACATATATGTATATATAGAGAAAGTAAGAGAAGGAGAGTGATAGAGATAGTACAATTCATACATTCTCATTTATATCGATTTAATATATTAATTACATTTTTATATATCTAAGAGTATTTTCTGTCTTAAACTTCATTTTCAACATCTTATCATCCATCATCATCATCATCTTCTTCTATTTCTTCTTCTACATTATTACAAACTCTTTCTATGCATAAAATTGTGTTTTACAGTTGATTAGTGCTTACAAATATATACATATATATATATATATATGTAATTTTTTAATGTTATATCTTTTATTATTAGTCACTGTAAAGACATGAACACAAAATCGGGAACTGTACGTATGGAGCCGGCAGGGAATCGGGATCGGGAAACAGGATGTACTTGTTGGTAAAAGGATCAGGAGCAGGATCAGGATGATTCCGGTTACTTGAGGTTTTGGGAACGGGAACGGGAGCGGGATGGTGTGTAGCGTGCGTGCGTTTCGTGCTGGACTGAGAAACGTATAAATGCATAAGGAAATGGACCAACTGCCAGGCACTTCTTATGCAGGAACGGAACCGGTTACACTTGCACAGTCAGCAAAACATTCGTTGAATCGAACCAATGTTGGCTATGCAAGAACAAAGCGTATGTTGGCGTGTGCTGGTAGGATGTGTTGGGATGGAAACGGGACGAACATTGTTGGCCGTCATTTGTTGTTGACGTAACCGCTTTATTTTCTTAACGGACGGCGTTTAAACATACACATGTCCTTAGCTATCTTACTATATCATCCCTGAATTGGAGAGGATTTCTTGGATGGTATTTTGATGTATGTGAATGACAAAATTTTGTTTAATGTTATGTCGTCTTGCATGTACGTCTCGTTCATTTAAACGTCCATTTCTTAGTCTTGCTTTTCTTCAGCCGCCAGTGTTTCGCTTTTTTCTTCACTTTTCAGTTCAGATGACTGAATCTTTTCGCCTACTGTGGCTTTCGTTATGCTCGCAGTTGATTCTTCGCCAACTAGCGGCTTCGATTCAGCATTGTCCGTCACAACGTGCGCCATCTCTATGCTTTGCGTGCTCGCCGCTGTCGTTTCTTTCGACTTTTCTTCAATTGTCTCTGTTCCCTCGATATTCTGTTTGTCGCTCATCACGTCTATAGCTTTTACCTCAACGTTCTTTGTCTCTTTTTCTTGTTCACTAACAGCTACTGTCGCGTTCAGTCCCTCACTTGCTACGTCTACGTCACGTTTCTTATGCAGTCTGTCTGGTATGTTTTGTGTACAAGAACACGGGCACATGCACTGGTCTCGACGTGCTCCACCCGTGATCTGGCTAAAGCTAAATGGTATGGGTGCTGGTTGCACACCCAGTGGGAATGGATCGACATTCTGTTGGTATCTGTCGTTCTCATGTATCGCATTGTTGTTGTCGCATTGCTCGTAAGCAGATTGTGGTAAAATGATAACCGGCATGAATGCTATAACAGCACCCTTGGGTATCTTATCAGGTGCATATGAAGCGGCATAACCCGGCGCCTGTGGGAATACCGGCAATTGTTGTAGTAGAGACATAGAGTTTGTAATGCCGCCGAAGCTGGCTTGTCCACCTGTTGTTGTTTGTGTTGTGAATTGTTGTTGATTATACAGTTTACTATCTGACGTTGGTTTACCATAGGACGAGGTTGTTGATTGTTGTGTGCCTATTGTAGTTTGTTGTTTTGTTGATTGTGTACGATCGGCATTGCATGGGCACAGGCGTTCGTTATTTATTTCGGTCGGTGGGAAAGAGGGGCGTGGGGTTTGGTAGTTCGTATTCGTATTGGTCACTACATTCTTCTCGGTTTGACGGTTAGTCTCGTAATTGCTAGTGACGCGTTGACCACCTGTGGGCTGTACGGGTTTGTAGCCTTCATTTGTGGTTGTAGTGGTGACTTTTTCTACGACTCGTTGCCCGGTTTGATAGCTGGGCACCTTACCAGTGTTTGTGTTGGTGGTTGTAACTTTCTCAACCACTTTTTGTCCCTGTGGGTAACCGGGTATTTGTCCGTAGATGTTATTATCTTTTTGCGTCGTGGTCACTTTTTCGACTACTCTCTGACCGTTATAGTAGCCGGGTGTTTGTTCGAAAGTGGTGGTTGAACTGCCACCGCCACCTCCCACGGTGACCCTCTGTCCAGTCTGTCGGTCTACATTGGTCTTTTGGTTTTGATTTTGATATGTATTGGTCTCTACGCTGTGCCCATACTTATTGCCGTTGTTTGTATTTGTGTTTGTTGTAGTAGTTGTTGTGGTTATTGTCTTGTACGGTTGCTCCTTCTCAATAGATGTATCCTGTCGATTGAACGTGTTCGTTATAGGTCCACGGTTAGGTGGCAGATATTTATTGTTTTGTTGATAGGAAGTCGGCGGATTTGCGGCGTTATTCGTGTTCGTGTTCGTGTTCGTATTTGTGTTCGTGGTTGTGGTGGTGGTGGTGATGGTTTTGGGAGGAGAGGGAGGAGAAGAAGGAGGAATATTGGTTAGTGGTGTTGTTTTAATATTATCATTAAATTGGGTGTTAGTATTGGTATTGTGGGTTGTGGTTGTGTGGGTGGTGACTTTCTTTTGTGCATAATCATTATTACTAACATAATTTGGCACGAAAGATGTTTGTGTATTGGTGTTGGTGTTGGTGGTGGTGGAATGTGTGCTTTTCGTGGGTGTTTCACCTTCCACAACAAATGATGATGATTTAATGGGTTGCGTTATTTTACCAGTTTTTGAGACGGGTGGCAAATAGCCGGGTGTATTCTTATTTGAGTCTCTTGGATCACTTGGTAGACCGGGTCTCAATGGTTGTCCTGGCTTGTATGGTGGTTGAGGGCCTGGTGGTCCTGGTGGGCCGGGTCTGGTTGGTCCTGGAGGTCCTGGTGGGCCCGGACGTGTTGGTCCAGGTGGTCCTGGTGGGCCGGGACGTGTTGGTCCGGGTGGGCCAGGTGGTCCTGGTGGGCCGGGACGTGTTGGTCCAGGTGGGCCGGGTGGTCCGGGAGGGCCAAATGGTCCCTTTGGGCCGGGTCCGGTTGGGCCGAATGGTCCTGTAGAAGTTTATTAAAAAAACAGATTATTAACCGTAATTAACGTACGCAAATAAATTGTAGTAACGCTCGCTTTTTCTTTTTTGCTTGCGCTTAACAACCTGGTGGTCCGGGGGGGCCAGGTGGGCCGGGTGGACCCTTTGGGCCGCCAGGTCCTTTTGGACCGCCGGGTCCCTTTGGTCCACCTGGGCCGCCTGGTCCTACGCCGCCGCCATCGCCTTTGCCGCCGACACCGCCTTCACCGCCAAAACCGCCATTAGGTCCTTCAATATGCACATATGGAGGAGCTGGTGGACCAGTTGGACCTTCAATATGAACATATTTGCCCGAATTGTCCGGGACATATTGACCTTCTTTAATACCTTCGAGCATAATTGAGCGAGAGAAAACGAATATTAGGGAAATGTTTTTTTGAGTAAAGAAAGGGTTAATGTAAGCTCACCTTTATAACGACCATCAAAACCTTCATTCTTACCATTTCCTATAGAAAGAGATAGATACAGTGTGTAGAAAAGAGAAAAATAGATTAGTATTTGGTAAAAAATTATCATTTTCAGTATTTAATTTTAGAAATCTACACTAAATATTTCTCAAAATACACTAAATACAGTGTGTACAAAAAGTCTATGAACAAACTAAAGCTACTGGTACTGTTTTTCTAGTTTTCTGGGAATAACAACAAATAATTGAAAAATTAAATTTGTATACTACCACTACTACTACTGCTATGAAAATGCCTAAAACAACTACAAATACTTTTTTTTTTATTTAAAAATAATTATTGTAATTATTCTTTAATCATGTTTACTACTTACTTATTGTTAAAACAACTACAAGCTGTAAGCGCCAGCTACCGGTACAAGCTCAATATAAATGTGGAATACAACAAATACACATATATATGCATGTGGGAATGTATGTAAATATGTATATGTATATATATATATAATTTATCAAATATTTTGTATATATGAATGTATGCATTTGTGTGTGTATGTGTGTGGTGAAGCCATGTTAGTGAACAAAACAATTGTTTGTATACATAATAACGGTAAGAACGGGAAAAATGTGTTTGCTTGTATTTACTTGTATCTAAAAGCAAGTCAAGTACATATTTCAGACAAACCGCAAAAGCATACATACATATATTTATTATCTTAAGCCCATCATGCCAACACGGCGCTCTGGCGACAGTGCAAGGTAAATATAGGGAAGGAAGGTGAGGATCATGGTATGGTTTCTGATTATATATAAATTTGACGAGCAAAGGATGTATGGTGTTAAAATAAAATAGATATAGATAATAGGGTTATACGTGGCTTTTGGAAGAGGGAGTAAGGGGATATGGGATATGGAATATGGGATATGGGATATGGGATGTTTACTGTTACCAAGCAACGGTTGCAGGCGATGGTTTAATGCATGTGTGTGTGTATCTATTTATGTATATTTGGAAGATGTATTTTAAGTGGGTATGGGTGTATGTATCTGTGGTGCATTTTAGGGGCACAGAAACCTCAAAAAGTGGAGAAACAGATATGAAATTTACACACAAAGTTATTCAAGGCTTTCAATGTATGTATGTGCGTGTGCAGATATGTGTGGCAATGTGTGGTACCGAAATCGGTAAGTTTTGTTTGGTGTGTATGATTTTTGATTTCTGCTTTACTGTAGTCGGAAGCCTTTCGTTTTTCGGCGATTTTTATTTTTTGTTTTATTTTTTCACTAAAAAATTTTTATATCAGTGATTTTTTCTCTTATGGTTGTTGTTTTTGTTGTAGTGGAAGTTATATAGACGTCGATTTTTAATGACGAAAAAAATCATTTTTCCTTCAGCGCGTTATAGCTTTCACGACTGCTTCCATATCAACTTCGTTTACCCTCAAAAGATTGTATGCCAATGTTTTTTTTTTTTTTTCAATTCTAAATTTCTTGCCGTTGCCGCTCTTATTTGTCGAAAAATCAGACAAGCTCTGTTTGTTGCTGATGTGCTAGCGAAAACAAGTAGGGAGCTTCCAAATAAATTTTTAAAATTGTTTTTAAGCAAAGAAGTGCATAGGTGTATGTGTGTGTGTGCGCGTTGAAGTGCTGGCAAGAATATAAATTTTCTGTGCAATATCTGTCGTCTATTAAAACAAAACAAAAAAAACGTATAAAACTGCAGACAAGTCAGGCGAGTCAACGAGTTTGCTATTCGCTTTCAGCATAAATTAAAAGTCCATTTTAAGTCAAAAAAGTGTAAAAAAAAATTTGTTTTTGCGAATCAAAGCTTTTCACATTCTTTTGTATTTTACTTTCAATTTCTTTATGAAATAATTGCTTCTTTGCGGTACTTTTTTTTTTTTTTTTTTTTGACTTCTATATTCTGCTTTCCTATGCCTGTCTCTAGTGATTAAAAACCGTTAAAACCGTTATTTTTCGAATAGTATGTGCGTGCGCGCGCTTCTGTGTGCGTGTGTGCTTCATTTTACATATATAAGTATAGCTGAAGTAGTGTGTGTGAACGTTCTTTCGATTGCATATAAATATAAGTAAGGAATAAAAACAATATAAAATATTATATATTTCTCTCATAATTTTTTTTATGTTTATACGAGTGTATAGTGCTATGCATGTATTGGTGTATTGGTGCGTTTATGCCGAAAAATAATCTCGCAGTATAATTATTTATCGCAGAAGAAAGATATGTAATAGTAGGAAATAATACAAAATATTATTATGATTTAATTGAAAAAGCTCTTATTTCTAATCTTAAGTGCTTAACAAGCTTATTTTGAAACGTAGAAAAAGCTCTAAAAAAAATACTTTTAATCATGAAAAAAGTGCACATATGGTAATCTGTACGATTTATTTAAAATTTATTTATTAAAAATTCAAAGCTCTCAAGTATAGGTGTTAGCTTTCATAGAGATATTTTGAAAAAAGTTTAGTAGTGAAAGCTAAGTTTTATTTGTGTCATATTAAAGACAAATCAATGCAGTTGCGAAAGCTTTCGTGTGAAAGTTCTTTATGCATTTTGAAGCTAACTGTTAGCTGCTAGATATTAAGCTCCCACGGAAGAGCAGTTTTTTTATCACACAAATCGTCCACTACATAAACAAATATTATAATAACAAGCGTTAAAGCCAGAAAAGTTTTTTAAATTATTTTTCAAAATCCAAAAGCTCAAATGCATACATAGATTGCGCATATGAACACTCTTTTCAGATGCTTAGAATTTCAGACCTATCTCTTCATTTAATTTCTGCTCTATCTAACCTAAAAGAACCCTAATTTCAATTTCTAAGCAGCCTACCCTTTTTCAGTTTGTAACACTAAATTTTATTTGTGCAAGCTAACCTGCTACATTCGGGCCCCCAGGAGAGCCGGACTCTACATATGCCAAAGCATCCGGCCCCCCTGGGCCACCCGGACCTACTCCACCGAGCGGTCCGGGCGAGTAAGCACCACCGCTACCGCCATAACTGCCGCTACCATTGCCTCCGCTTCCTCTACCGTCGTCGCCGCTACCATTGCCTCCGTTTCCTCTGCCGCCGTTGCCGCTGCCTCCGCTACCGCTGCCACCATTGTTGCCGACACCGCTGTATGCACCGCCTCCGCCACCGCCATTGTTGTTGTAGCTTCCGCCACCACCGCCATTATTGCCTCCACCTAAACCAGCGGAGCCGCTCGGGTACTTTGCCCCATTGCCGCTACCGCCACCGCTGCTACCCCCATTATATGCGCCATTTCCACCACTATATGGGCCATTCCCAGCAATATTTGGCCCAGTACTGCCTGTATATTGGCCACCACCGATATCTCCTGGATATGGTCCATTCGCACCGGGTCGTACTGTGGCCACCACATGAGCTGATGGCGCAGGTATGCGTTCATGTTCGGCATAACGTGAGGGGCTGAGAATGGCTGAGCCACTCTGCACACCTGTTGCTTGGGAAAATGAAAAACCTGGCGTAAAACCGCTAGGCTTATTCCTCTATAATAAACAATTTGTTCGTAGTACGGTCGAAGTAAAGAGAGAGAGGGAGAGAGAGAGAGAAACATTCATATATGTAGCTTCAAATGATCCATAGTTAGATATTTCGTTGTTATATTCGACGTACATCACCCAATTGTAATACTGGAAATTCTGGCCGTGCGCCACCCTCGAACTTGCCACAGCCTATTGGGAAGTATAGCTCATCCCATTGCAAAATTACGCCATGGCCTTTTTCGCCATATACTGGATAGACCTCGACCGGCTTCTGCGGTTCGACGGTACGATAACCGTGTGTATCGGCAACGTAATGTGTTGCACGTAACATATGATAGGGGTCGACGTAACCATAACAACCGTAGGTGACGCCATCGGGACCACGGGTCTCATGATGGAAATTGCCCGTCTTACCGATATCATAGCCATAACGATAGGCATCTGTTGGGTGGTGAGTTGTTTTACGATATTTATTTTGTTGTTGTTGGGTTTTGCGTTGCGAGTAGATGTTGTAATCGGTGGTGTGTGGGTTTGGTGGTGGTTTTTTGTTGGTTGAGTATTTTAAGGTTAGGGTTTAAGGAAAAATACAAAAATTGGTTGGTGCTTTATGCTCAAATTGTGTTACATATGTAAGTGCGTATATACAGGGTGCAGCAAAGAAAATTTGTAAAACCTATACTATATAACACTTAAAAAAAATAGTCATATTTTGTCTGCTATTTGTACATAAAAAGGCCTATTTTGCTAATAATATAATGTCCGGTTTACGCTAAGACATTTTTTGATTGGAGATCGCACAAAAAGTTGCCCAAAATTAATTAATGAACATGCAAAGTTTTGACCAAGCTTTTTTAAGCTTTTATTCACAACCAATTATGCCTAAACTCATATACTAAATATAATTAAAATTTCTTTCAACTATTGCGCAGCTGTGTATATCTAAAAACAAGTGTAATAAATAACTGTAGCCTGCACAGGCTTCAGTTTTATTTTTTTATTTTTATTTTTTTGATATTTCGGGGCCACACGAATACGACGAGTGAATGATGCGAGCGGGATGAGAAGGTATGGATATGGATGTGGGACAAAGGATGATGGATGCAGAGGTTTTGGAAAGAGGAAAATAAGATGATATTTAAACAATTAGAATTTTAAAATTAATAGTTAACAAAAAGCTCAGAAGTTTTCATATAGCATACACAGAGAAGAAATTTATTTATTTTAAATTTTAAATTTTAAATAATTTTTCTTTTAATAAAAAAGTTTTAGTGCTTTATATTTAATTTTCAGGCAAAAGCTTACAAAAGCTTGCCTTCTTATCGAAACTTATGTGCATGCTTTCCGTGAGCTTTCATACATATTACATTTAATACGTATCTCTATAGCGTTGCCTTTACAATTTGTTTTATTATGCAATTAGTTAATCATTGAAAATATTTTTAATTAATAAATACATTTAATAAGCGTTTATGAATAGAGTTATTTCAATTGAATAAAAAAAGATTTTCAAATTGTTTCATTCAATTCGAAACAAAAATTTCTAATGGGAAAAGTAGAAAGGTAAAGTGGAGTGGAATGTCGTGGAATCGATTTTGAGTGGTTTCTGAGAATCGAGTTGATTTTGAGTCGAGCTGAGTTGTGTGTGTCGGTTGGAAAATATTTACAATTTGAGACGAGTTTTGAGTTGGACGATATTATTTATTTTGTTTATTTCGATATATATAAATATATACTACAAAGTAGATGTAGATAATAATATTTGTGTGCGTTGGCTACTACTTTTTACGCATTCTTTATGATTTTTTTTTTTAAGTATTTGGGTGTTTTAGTACAAAGCTACAACAAAAGTAACAACATATGTAAATAATAATGATAGGATATGTAAAATGTAAATTATATTTAAATACGCTTGAGTAAGGTGTTTTTATTTACTACTATGGGAACATCAAGCGAAAAACGTATTATTATTTCTTTTGTTTTTTTTTAATTTTAGAATTCAACTTTTTGTGGTTATTTAGTTGCTGTTGTGTTGCTGTTTTTTTATTTTATTAGGGCTACAGCGTGCGCTACTGTTAATTAATTGTAAATTAATTACTATTAAATCGTGTAGAAAGACTACGTTTTGCTAAATACGGAAAAAAAAATTTTTTTTTTACTTTCTCTAACTACAACATGCTGCTACGTTTACTGTTATACAATAAATATAACAACAAATCTATGTGCGCACTTTTGAAAGCTGGAAGGACTCCTTACGTCGAAGGCTATACGACGAACGAGTCCTCGCCGTGTGCTTCTTTTGCAGCGCAATATTTCTACTCATAAGAAAATGTGTATAATTATGTAATAAATAGATATGTATTGTATTAAATGCTACAAAAAAATCTACTACTTGGTATGAATGGCAAAAATTTAAAAGTATTTGATGGATGAGCGAGATGGAAAGGTAGATATAGAGCTTTTGATATAGAAAGAGTGGGATAGTTAAAAATTTAATTTCAGCAGCTACTAACCAGCTAGTTAGTTAAAAAGAGAGAGGCAGATAGTGTAAATAAGAGAGAGAGAGAGAGAGAGCGGTACAGAGAGAGTGTAGAGACATAGCACAGTTATAGGAGTGTGAAAGGATGGTGAAGGAAAAGAAAAAATAGTAAAAAGAAATAAAAAGAAAATTTAAATGAAAATATTAAAAATAAATAAATTAGAAAATAAATAAAAGTAGTAAGACAAGTAGAAATGTGAAAGTAAAGATAGCAAATAGGATAGTTTAATGAATGCTTACATAAACATAAAAATTTATATGCATGTAAAAATATTTTCTAATACATTTTCTCTTTTAATAATTGTGTGACAAGTTTGAAATTCTTTCAGGTGCATTTAGTTGATGTTTTTATAGTTGATTTTTTAAATAAAATTGAAACATTCTCTACTTACTGGTATCGAAATTCGACGAATAGTATTGTTGATTGGTCGTTTTTTGGTCTTTGATTTGCAGAATAAGGCGGCGATTTTCCTTATCGTAGTTTTGAGAGAGAGCGCATTGCACTAAAATGCAAGCGATGGCCTGTATGGATGATATGTAGGAGAATATATAAGAAAAATTTATTAGTTATTATTTAAACAGCTATTTATTTTTTATGAGAAGTAAGAAAAAAATATTTATTTGTAAAGGTAAAATGGTAAACAAAAATTTCTGAAATCCATTTCAAATAGGTCGAAGCGCAAATGCTGCATATGTTTGCCTTTTTGTCACTGTGGTAGTACAAAAGTAGAGTAGAGTTTTTTTTTTCAAACACATGTTGACCCGAAACTCTTTTTACAATTCCATCGGATCGCAGCAAATGAATTTTATTTTTTTTTAACTTTTTTAAACATTACAAAAGTTATACAGCTTTTCATTGTCAATTCCGTATACGTTACCATAGCTCAATTCACCAATCAAGCGTGTTTCAAGCCAAACTCTTTAACAATCCACAACCTCACTTTTAATAAATATGTAAAAAATTTATTTGTAAAATCCAGCTGTTGTATAACTCTCATAAGCATTATTTTTCCATAATATATATATATACAATTAATTATTTTTGTTCATCCGTAACACTGCTTTGACGCACAAAGCTTACAAATCTTATGTAAGCAGCAAGAAACCATTTTTCAAACGTCTTTGGTGAGCTTAGGTCAAAAGGGTGTACGCAAGTAAAGCCTGATATAAGGTGTGCAATATGTGATGAGACTACGTATGTACTTTTACGCTAAAGAAAATATACAAAATCTGACAGCAGCAAGCAAACTACAGCGCAGCAATGAGTAATTACCCGAATATGGTGTTGAAAAATTATGTATAGAAAACAAAAATAAATAATTCCCAAAAAATTCAAAAAGGTAACAAATTGTTGGGAATGCAATTTTTGTAAAGAAATTTTTTGTTTTTTTTTTTTTTGCTAATCAACTTTTGCACGTCTTCTCTTAACGTAAACACACACACAAAATACACGCATGTCAAACTTCATAATTACCAATTGTAGTAGCCTCTGCAGCCACCAAGGCATTGCGTTGGCTGGCATTAATACCTTCAAATGACTAAATCGTGTTGGCAAAATTTTGGACGTTGAAAACCAATAAATATATATATATATATATATTGTCACCACTGTGTATAGTTAATTTATGTGCTACAAGCGCCTACACTTTGGCAAATTTGCTTTTATATTAAATTGGAGCACACCTAAGCGGATATGCGTTTAACAATATCTATAAAAAAAAAAATGAAAAAAAAACAATGTCAGAAAAATGTCAAAAATAATGAATACACGTTCAAGAATTCAAGAAAATATAACAATTCATTATATATTTTTATATTGCATTACACCGATGCGCACTAAATAGAAATCTCTATAAGCTGACAACTTGTCACTGCTGCAAAACGCGCTTCGCTGAACTGTTCGCGACAACGGTAAATGTAGGTTTATTTATTTAAAAAAGAAGATTTCATTTATGGGCAAACAAAAAAACAATACGAAACAGTTTTGGCAGGTTTCTATAATGAATTTTTTTAAATAAATATGACGCCAAGAGGAGATGAGCTAAGCAGGTCGTTTTAGCTGCTTGAGGAGCTGCTGTGAGTATTGAGTATTATACAAATACATACAAACGCAGCGGTGTATATGTGTGTATGCTTTTTTATTAATATGCAAATTTATCCAATTCATATGGTATTTAAAGAAAAGAGTTTATATATTTTTGGGCACAGCCACAGTTAGAACTGAGCAGAACTATTGTATTTAAACTGGAAATGCAAAAATTAAGGCAGGTTTTCTAATCAATACTTTTATAAAAATAAATAAAAAAATCAAGTATTCAGTTTAAATTGTGTAGATCTGATTTAAGAAAACTATAGTCTTCAATTTATTAATTACTCACTAACTGATATGTATGAGTAAATATATGTATTCATGCATAACTCAATAACCGGAAGTGTGCTTAAGCGATGGCAGGGAAGTACGACAGGAAAGGAAATTAAAGGAAACTTCCGCTAAAATTACTGCAAAAGCCTTTCAATGACATATACTGGCAGAAAACCCAAAAATTATGAAAGCGAACAGCGTCAAAAATTTTAAAATTCTCATCGTGAGCGAATAAGCTATCAAGGATTTCGGTTTTTTGTTATTATTCCCCCTATTCTATGCGTATAAATCTGATTTAAGCTTGTCAAAAGTAAGCCTAAAGATATATCAAAGGCTTGTACTTTTATTATTTAAATTACTATTTTGGTAATATTTACTCTGGTAAAGAAAAAATGCGTTTAAATCTGAAATAATATTATTGTTCGTATTTCTTATCTTCGAAAACAAGATTTTTTCAAATAAAAACCGGTTGATAAATTTTGTTTTATTGTTTAATTTAAATTCTGTGCTACAAAATACTTATTGTCTGTACCTGAGTTTTTCTACTATACATATAGTACATAGTATATACCTGCGTAAAACGGTAAGTCATTTCGAGTTTATTGTGCTCATGACGTCACAGCTACATAACAGCGAATTTCTAAACTCTCTCCAACTTTTTTTTTAGCTGAATTGTTTTTTGAATTTTTTTTTTACAAATTACTATATATATGAAAATTTATTTTTATTGTTATCGATTAATGGAATTTTTTACATATAAAATTATTAAAATATTTTTAGAGAAAATTCCAATCCAAATTGACCTTAAAGTGAGTAAATTCAAAATATAAAAATTAAGGGAAAAAACGCTCAAAGTGACATGTTGATGTTAATCTAAAATAACTATCATCACAAATTGGCTACAAACTTCGCGTTTGAGCAGAACCGATTATTAAAAGAGCCTTTGAAAGTGATGTTGATTAACTTTTGAATATATGAACAAAAAAATGATAATAAAATACTTTAACAAAACCTAAAATAAGAAAAAAATTTTTTTCATATTTCAACTGCCAAAGGTGGAAAACATATGCATTTGAGCATGCGATGTTATCACAAAATATATTATATATGCACACGCATGTATCTAAACAGGTACCTATGTACAACTCATTTGGCTCTTCCCATAGATGTTTTTTGCCGCATTTTGAATGACAGCAATTAAAATCGAGTTTAGTGCATTTTGCATACATATATATATATGTGTGTAAGTGTAAATTTCAGAATGTTGTGATGCTGGCGGTTTTTGGTGTTTAATTTTTATCTCTCTTGTGAGTTTTTTTTTTTTTTGATTTTGTAATATCTATTAAGTGCGTTTAAAGCTTTAGCATATTTTTATTTTCAATTTTTTTTTTTTCGATTTAGCTTTATTTAAGTATGGCACAAATTGCAACAGAGCTCTTGCTAAGTATTTGCATAATTGGTGCCTGATGTCTGACAAAGCTTGCGAATATTGTGCAATAAATCAAATAAAGTTTTCAACAGCAGATTTAAATAGCGAATATTTTTTTGTTATTATTTTTTACGCAGATTTATTATATTTTAATCTTTTGAAAGCACTTTAAGCTTGGTGGTGGAATTTCTATGTAAGGTTTTATGCGAAACTCAACTGTGGTCGACTGATTTGCAATTTAACTCGTTTTTGGAATGTTTAGTTAAACTTTTTTTATTTTTTATTTTTTATTTTAATTTAATTTTTTTATATCGAAATTCATACACCGTTGGTAAGTAATTTAAATTTCCTTTAATTTGTTGAAAAGAGTTACTATTTGGATACTCCAAGTTCCAATTCTGCTTTATTAATAAGTTATACACTTATGCATGTTAAAAATTGCCTAATTTATGTTCCTAAAAACAAAATATTGATTTTTCATATTTTCTGCCAACTCATATGTATATCAACTGTAATATCTCAAAAAATGCATACTCATGCAATTTACCGAAAATTGTCAAAATCATCAAATTAAACATGCATAAACATTCTAAATTGACCTGATTGGAAAAATCGATGAGCTACGTATGTTTGTAGGTGTACATGTATTTTCGCGCAGATGCGCGTCTATCAGCTTTCAGATCGATAGATAGAAATACAAATATTTGTATATATATATTCAAAATAACTGGTTGTACGTAGAGTATTCGATATGTACGCAACAGTCCATACATACATAACTACAGAGATATATTATATATACGAAAAATCTAAAAAAATTTATTATTTTTAATATTTATTTATTATTTTTGTATATAAGTATACATTCTTCAACACTATTAAAGCACTTACATATCTCCCTATGGTTTTACATACATAGGCTGATGCACTAACATATATGTATGTAAGCAATCCTGCGACCGCAATGGTAGCAGCGCAGGCTGCAAGCCTCAACTGAAAAGTTTTCACTTAATACGTACACCTCAACGGCGGAAATGCGCATTGTATATTTGGGATGACAATAATAACAAATGGAGAATAATTTATTATCCGTTTGGAGGCAGCTGAAAATTGTTGGTCCAACCATTTCTGCGTAATATATATATATAATGTATAATAATAAGTAATCACCGATTTAATAAGACTTACAGACAGCTGTAAGCTTTTAAATTATGGCCTTCATTATTATGTTAACAATGCGCGTAAGTACCATAAGAAGAGCTTGTAAAAGAAAAATGTAATGTTAATTCCAATTAAATTTAATGAATGGTTTTACAAGCACATTTTGCAATAGTTCGACATCAATTAAAATGAAAATGTTGGATAAACTTTAATATTCTATGTAGCAGAAAACATCACTCATACGCCTGGGTGGTCAGTTGAGGCATAATTGAAGAAGTGTTTATAACAATGCTACATAGTTGAAATTTATATGCAGAAGTACAAATTTTAGTTAATTATTATAATGTGTAATATGTAAATATTTATACATATATTTTATTTTAAATATAATTTAAAAAAAAATTAATTGTAGTTTGGTATCAAAAAATTTCTTGTCATAGAAATGGAACGCCTGACCATAGAGACATTGAAATTAAGTTAACTTTGTAGCAAATTAAAAAAAGTAATAACTAATATTAGAGGAACACGAATACATAATTGAAAAGAGTGATTTATTTAAGTCATAATTTT